CCAGTTTGGGCACCCCAGTTTGCACCCCTCTCCCCCCCCCCACAAACCCCCCCAACCACCCCCGATCAGGGCCCGCCCCCCCCCCTCCCCGCACCTAAAGTCCACAGTCCCTGCCAAAACCGGGGGGTTTGGGCCCACCCTTCGCTTGTGGGGTCCACGCTTCTGGGGCCACCCTTCCGTAAAGTCCACAGTCCCTGCGAAAACGGGGGGTTAGGGCCCACCCTTCGCTTGTGGGGTCCACGCTTCTGGGGGTTTCACAGTTTCTGGGGCCTGGGCTTCTGGGTGTTTCACAGTTAAAGTCCACAGTCCCTGCGAAAACGGGGGGGGTTAGGGCCCACCCTTCGCTTGTGGGGTCCACGCTTCTGGGGGTTTCACAGTTTCTGGCCACCCTGCCAAAACGGGGCCACCCTTCCGTAAAGTCCACAGTTTTTCGGGCCTACACTCCCTGCCAAAACGGGGGTTCGGTGATGTGGGGCCTGGGCTTGTGGGGGTTTCACAGTTTCTGGGGTTGGGGTTTTAAGGAGATTTGGGTTTAGGGTTGGGGGTTTAGGGCTTCGAATTCAGGGTTTCAGGGCTGCATTCAGAGAAAATGGCGAGCCCATCCCTAAACCCTAATCCGAACTGTCCGAATCTGATGCGAGCCCTAACCCTACACCCCACATCCTAGCTGGAGTTGACATGCCTAAAGCCCTAAAGCCCTAAAACCCTAAACCCTAAAACCCTAAAACCCTAAACCCTACTAAAACCTCAAGGGTTACATAGGGAATCTGAGGACTTGGTGAGACACTCCAGTTGGTGCGACAGTCCAGCTCGAAATCCCCCCAGACCTGATCCGGTGAGGCTTGCAGCTACACCCTAAACCCCTAAACCCACAGACCCCTAAACCCCTAAACCCTCAATCGTCATGCCCGGAGAACCCGATACCCCTCGAATTAAGGAATACTTACCTTTAAGGGCTCCGAAAAGGAATCTAGAAGGGTCGATTCAAGGAATATATATCTTACATTATAGGGGTGGCTTTGATATTATGATTTAAGGTCTATTCCCTAATTAAGGGGCACTGGGCATTCTGGGCATGTCGCCTTTGAATCAAATGTGAATGCTTTCCCTCTAACGATGTGTGTGTGTGCTCCTCTCTCAGTCCCCGAAGCAGGTGAATATGGGGGCCTCCGTGCCTTCTGCAACCCCACACCCTACTAAACCTAAATCGCGCACACCACATAACGACCTAAACACCCCGAACCCAACAACCTTTTCAATCCCTCCGATCCTATTCAGAGCCTTGAACCTGCAAACCCTATGGACCTTGAACCCGCCCTGCAAGACTGATCAAGCGTGGCAGTCTCGCCCTGAAGCTGCAGTGCACTACTCCAACCGCCAACCCCAGTGCCCAGCCTCTCCGGGTCCACCACAGCCATATACATCGCGGCCTGCAGGAGGATGTCTCTGCGGCTCAGCTTTTTCACCGCTGAACGGGGGTTTCAGAATATTGGGGACCCTATTACAGCACCCTAAATAGTAGGATCCTTATTAGACTGATCAAGCGTGGCAGTCTCGCCCTGAAGCTGCAGTGCACTACTCCAACCGCCAACCCCAGTGCCCAGCCTCTCACCGGTCCACCACAGCCATATACATCGCGGCCTGCAGGACTGATCAAGCGTGGCAGTCTCGCCCTGAAGCTGCAGTGCACTACTCCAACCGCCAACCCCAGTGCCCAGCCTCTCCGGGTCCACCACAGCCATATACATCGCGGCTTGTCGCTGCTATTCTCTCTAGGACCTCCCGCCTCCCCAAAACCTAAACGCCCTCAGTCACCTTATAGAGCCAAAAACAACAACAGTTCAAAGCCTTTAAAGCCTTAAAACCCCAAACCCAGATGCCACCGACCCAAATCCTAAGACCAAGGCTGCCCGGTATTTTACACTATCAGTAGGTTAAGGATCCCCAAGACATAACACAGGTTATACTGTAGGGGTTTGCATAAGAACTTGTATGATTTATGGGTGCCCTCTACTAAACACTCATTAATTGTAACCCCCTAAACCCTAAAGCCTAAATTCTTACAAAGACCCTTTCGAGGAGCCCTGACACGAACCCGCAAGTGAGCCGTTTCAAGGAAGCCTACAGTTGATGATATGCATTACCTTAAGGACCCTATAACTATGGGAATTATGATATATTCCTTATTATGGGTAATGCAGGATTTGCCCATAGGCCGCATAGGCCCGTAAGTAGTTCCTTTTTATGGTTCATATCGAGAATCCCATAAGGGTAATCTCCAAAAGGAGCTACTTAAGGGCCTATGGGTATATCATCAACCCCTATGTTGCCTCATGGCTTTCCGAGGCGCCTGTCTGGTCTCATTGCAGCACCGCTTCCGGCGCCCTACCGGGGAACAGGGTTTAGGGATTAGGGTTCAGGGTTTAGGGCTTAGGGTTTAGGAGGGTTTGCTTCAGGTTTGTTTTGGTGTGTTGTTGGTCAAGGGTCTCATCATAAGGGCAGTAGGGGGTTGAGGTGTTCTATAAAGGTCCTAGAGAAGGGCTCCACAAAGTTCTGATACGGCTTTGGGTTTTCAACAGATCGTTTACGGGTTCTTTGATTCTTTCAAGTCTAGTGAAACCCTAAACCTCTTTGGAGGCTGTTGGAGGGTTCTCTCAGGGTTGGGGCCGTCTTGCAAACCCCATCTGTTAGCATGGAAGTTTCCCAAAACAGCGGGTACCTTATTTTGGGGTCCTTATGATAAGGGTCCGAGTGTGGCTGTGGGGAAAGCAATTGATCTCTAGGTTGCTCGTAACTGTCTAGATTGTATAGTGGAATTTTGATCGGCTTGACGTTGACGTCACAGCTGTGATTGCGGGCAAAGGAGAGACTGGCCAAAGCCAGGGGGGGAATGGGTTCCAAGCTGGCGGTGTGCTGTGCGAAGTGCCGTGCGGTGATCTTCCCAGCATAGCAACACTACGGGGAAGACGTGCTAAATTGAGCCACTTCTGAAACCCTGAGCTCCGAGACCCTTTTGGCCCTCAGCGACGACCTGCATCCTCTCCTGTCGGGCTCATGGGACGGACGTGCTCCCGGCGAGGCTGCACGAAGGAGGTCAGCAGGTCTCGGGTCCAGCGTGGGCTGCGTACCTGCGCTGCTCACGGGAGAAGGCTGGCGCCAGGGAATCCGACCCTGCGCAAGCCAGAGCGTCGAGTCTGCTGCAAGCCGACGTGCTCCCAGCGACTCAGTGACGCTCGGCTGCAAGTAGGCATTCGTGCCTGCTTGCAGCACGGGGGGCCCATCCCGGGGAGAAACTGCCAGTGCCCCGACTTTGTCCGCCGCTGCGGCATCTTTGCCAAGTTCGTGAGCGACTCTTCACACCTGGTAGCTCCGAACCTTCATGTTGCCCCTTGGGGGCCCCTGAGCAGAGACTGGGCTCTGGAGTATCATGCTTAAACACTTTTTTGGGGTACCTGTTCCTTGAAGGAACCATGACGAAATAACAGTCTATACTTTTTCTTTCAAGGAACCATGCTAAATAAAAGTCCATACTTTGTCTCTCCTTGGTTACTTCAACATCCAGGAGAGATGCCGCCGGAAGAGCAACTCATCAACGTGCTGGTACTTAGACGCACGGGGTTGCAAGCGGCGGACATCGGATGGATCAAGGAGTGGCGCCCGGATCAACTACTGCAGCACCTGTGCGACACAGCTTTGGGCGGATGGTGTGATCTTCCTAACCAACACTCTGGACCCATTCGCAATGCTTTTCGGAAGGCCTCGCAGTCCGGTAACCGGGAGGCCCTTCTGGAGCATTTGTCGGCAGCAGTGATCCAACCAGTCCAAGCCTTGTGGGACAAGCGGGGTTTGCTCTTCCACCTAGCTCGACAGTCCACCTGGTACCCGCTCCTGTCCACCTTGCGCGCTGCTCATGGACATGATTATTTCTGGGCGAATATCGTAGCCTTCGACCTGCGCACGCAGCGGTTGGCGAACGCTTACCCGCGGGACAGGCAGGTGTACTGCGGCTTCGGCCCTGGGGGCTTGCGTGGACTCAATGCTGTCCTGGGTCGCGCTCGTACTGCAGCATTGGAGCAGCAGGTGGCTTTGCTATGGGCCAAGTACCTCGCTGACACTCTTGCTTGGCCGGGACCACGCCCTGAAGCTTATCTGGTGCAGTGGTGGCTCTGTGAGTTGTCTCAAGCCCCGACGTCCATTTGGAGCACAGGCTGACCGCGCCCGGAGGCGTATCCGGTGCCGTGATGGTTCTGTGAAGTGTCTCCAGCAACGACGTCCCTTCTGAAAGCAGGCTCGGTCGCTCAAGGATGCTCCTGTCAAAAAAACGCCGCGGGTACTTTAAGTAGACCACCGACTGACTCACTCGCTCATTCATTACTCGCTCACTCCCTCACTCATTCATTCCCTTGCTCCCTCACTCCCCCTGTTCAGTTACACGATCCCAATGACCGTCATGTTCAAGATGCCTTTGGGAATGCAACAATGCCGAATGGCATTGCCTCAAGACCCGACGACTGCTTGGTTGCACATAATGTTCAAGATGCATTGGTGCATGCAACAATGCCGAATGGCATTGGCTCAAGACTGGACGACTGCTTGGTTGCACAAAGGAATGCTCGTGAGTGTGTGTGACTGGGAAAGTGATTGATCTCGGTGTATGTTGCTCCCCGATAACAGGAGCTCTATGAAACCCTAGGAAATCCGTTAAGGAAGCCGACCTTAGCTTAGCTATAAGCCCACAGGGTTCTATGTCAGGCACCGGGGTTTATCCTCAGGAACCAAGCGAACCTCACTCGAAGCGCCCTCCGAAGCTCATACCCCGACAACCGAAACCCGAAAAAGCAAACCCTCGAGCTACTGTAGGAACCTGACTAAGCAACCCTGGGACTTTGTTAGGGTTCGTAATATGCATCCTACTATATTGGGGTCAAAGGTAATCAGCTTCCTACATTACTGCCTAAACCCTAAACCCTAAACCCATTGGGTTTGTGGAACCCTTAAGCACAACCCTTCGGAGGACTAAGGAAGCCCCAACAAGAAGCTTCAGAAGCAGCCCTTAAAATGAACCCACTGAGGGAGCCCGAAGCCCCAAAAGCGTTGAACAAAGGGCATCCTCAACCCTGAACCCTGAACCCTAAACCCTAAACCCCTAAATCCCTGAACCCTAAGCCCTAAACCCTAGACCCTACACCCTAAACGCTAAATCCCTGAATCCCTGAACCCTAAGCCCTGAACCCTGAACCCTAAACCCTAAGCCCTGAACCCTAAACCCCTTAGCCGCCTTAGCCCCAAACCGCTGACAGCCCTTTGGCCTGCTCCGAGGAGACCCTAGGGTTTAGGGGTTCAGGGGTTT